TTAGACTGGCCATTTTCAAAGGGACAGAGATCAACAGATGCTGGTGAGGATGCAGAGAAAGGGGAGCCACTGTTGGTGGGACTGTATATTGGTACAGCCATTAAGGAAAATTATAAGAATTTTCTCAAGCAACTAAAGACAGAACTGTTATATGACCCAGCAGTTCCACTGCTGGGTATATAAACAAGGGAATGGACATCATCATGTCCAAGTGACACATGCACTCCCATGTTTACTGCAGCTTTATTTACAATAGCCAAGTGTTGGAACCAACATAAATGTCCATTGGCGGATGACCAGATAAGGACAATGTGCTATATTTACACAATGAAATACTACTCTGCCATGAAAAAGAAAGAAACACTGCCATTCACAGCAACATGGATGAACTTAGAGAAAATCATGTTAAGTAAAAAAAAGCCAGGCATAGAAAAATAAATACCGTATGTCCTCACTCATATGTCAGAGCAAAAAAATAAAAATTAAAAAATTTAAAAAATAAAAGAACTAAAGAAAGAAAGATAAAACAATCATAATAATACATTGAACTTTCAAAAGAAGAGGACAAAACAGGTTACCAGAAGTGGGAAAGGGGGAGGGGAGTAAGGGAGATATTGGTAAAGGGCCATGAAAATTGATCAAAATGTGTAATGTTGAATATACTAATTATCCAGACTTGAACATCACGTATTGCACGCAGGCATTGATATTCAATGCTGTAACTGACAGATATGTTCCTTGAACTAATTTCCAATAAAAAATAAATAAAATGATTTTAAAAATTGCTAATGTGCATGGTAGTCAAAGATGCAAATACTAGAAACAGGATATTCTCTGGTTTTCTTCCAGAAACGAATTTATAAGCTGCATAACCATGTGGTCCTCAGACCTGTCTGGGAAGCCCAGGGGTGGGGGTGCTGATGCTCTCAGCTGCCTGCAGCACCTCTCCCGGTGATCCTCCAGTCCTTACTGCTGTCCATGTGTTAGGCTGCTGGCACTGATGGATAGTATCAAATATCCCTCTTTTGACTTCCAGATCTCAGGACCCTTGTTAACAGCTCTACAGGAAACCAGGCAAGAAAAAGGTTTCCTGGCAAATGTACCTCCAGAATGACAGTGATGATGGGAATCAGCAGCTGGCAATCAAGTGTGCTCACTACTCGTCTAGTTTTATTCTTCTGCATATCAATCTCCAGCGTTCTCAGCACCATTTATTGAAAAGACTATCCTTTCCCCAATCAATCCTCATTGCCTTTATAAATAATTATCTGGCTGTAAATACATTGCTTTATTTCTATGTTTTCTATTCTGTTCCATTGGTCTGTGTATCTGTTTTTATACCAGTATCGTGTTGTTTTGGTAACTACAGCTTTATAATATATTTTGAAGTCACGTGGTGTGATGCCTCCAACTTTGTTCCTTTTGGTTATCATTGCTTTGGCTTTTAGGGGATTTTTCAGGTTGCACACACATTTTAGGATTGTTTTTCCTACTTCTGTGAAGACTGTCATAGGTATTTTGATAGGGATTCCATTGAATCTGTAGATCACTTTTGGTAGTATGGTCATTTTGACAATATTATTTTTTCCAAACCATGAACATGGGGTTTCTTTCCATTTCATTGTGTCCTCTTGATGTTTTAACAAGTCGCAGTTGGCATTGGCCAGTTAGCTCAGTTCGTTAGAGTGCATTGTTATAACACCCAGGTCAAGGGCTTAGATCCCCTTAATGGCCAGCAGCAATAAATAAATAAATAAATAAAATTCAAAAAAATAAATAAATTTAAAAAGTTTGGGAAACTGTGCAGTGGTAATGGAAATTCACAAGGGGTAGAAATCAGCCCTGTACCCGTGAAAACAGATGAATGATTTTTTTAAAAAATCACTTTTTCTAGTACTCATGTTGGGCATCACTATGCAGAGCTTTCATGCAGAAGAGCTGTGGGAAATAAGGTTGAATGGTTGTGAGGTTTAGAATATAGAGGTTCCCAAACCAAGAATTAGATGAAATCCATTTAGTGAATTGATATAAAGGACACCTATGCCTTTAGATAATGATTTGTCTGTGAGTGACATTTATTTGAGAAACCACAGTGTCCTCTTAGTGCATCTATAGTAAATTACTTGGTCTTATAATGGTAAAAAGGATGTTATTGTGCTATTATAAAATGATTTGGAGTAACTTTAACATGCTCTGCAGAAACTGGTATTTTATTTATTTATTTATTTTTAATTTGAAACAGTTTTATACTTATGGAAAGGTTCTATGTACAGTACAATGTACTACTTTTTACTCCTGAACCAATTGGGTATAAGATAATGAAGAACAGCCCCATTCTGTAAGACTTTACTATTTGTTTCCTAAAGACAAGACAAGCTCTTACATAGCAACAATACTACTGTGGAATCACCAAATCATTATTAATACCTCACTACTCCTAGTACTCAGTTTTATTTACAGTTTTGATAATTCTCACAATAATGTTTTTTTTTTTTTTTTTTTTTTGTAATAAGTGACCCAGTCCATATTCACTTGTTGCCTTTATTGGCCCATGTCTCTTTAGTTTCCTTCAGTCTGGACCAGTTCTTCAGTTTTTCCTTGTGTTCATCTTCTTGTCACATTTGAATACTACTTATTTGTTATTTTGTAGAATGTCTTTCAGTATGTATTTGGTTGAATTTACCTCCTGATTAAGTTCTGCTCAGGAATATCCAGAAGCGACACTGTGTACTTACTGCATCCTATCAGACAGTCCATGATTTCAAGCTCTCCCAGGACTGATGGCATTCACTTTGAACATGGATGAAAGTGGTTTCTGCCAGACTTTAAGTCTTCTTTTTAAATTTGAGAATTTATAGAGAAGTATTTTGTTGCATTATGAACATCCACTTCATATCAACATGTGGACTCATGTATTCATAACATTCCACAGATTTGTCCAATCTATACCTTGTTCAAGCTGGATTCTAATACATGCTGCTTCTACCTCATCATTCTCTATGCACTTCCCTAGTTTATGCCAAAAATTGATCAAGGCTTCTCTTGGATTTTCCCTGTCATAGACTTGAAATAAGTCATTTATCCAAGAATTACTGATTCCTTTAAGTGGAGATTGGTGTTCAAATAAACTATATTTGGTCACTAAAATTGTTTATTGGGATTTATGTGTCATTGCTTCTTGGAAAGTGAACTACTATCTATCTGTCTATTCACATACATTTTTTATCTATATCTATAAAAAATTATGAATTTACATTGATATCTCTAATTACAATGAAAATTCACAGTTTATTCTAGTACTATTTCTTTTTATATTTGCAACTTTTCCCCAATACCAAAAATGTTGTCACAAATTATCTTCACTGAATTTACTTATTTGATCAATTTCTCCATGTAAAACCAGCCTGCTGCTGCCCTTGCCACCTACACTCTCATCGAAGATGAGTTTTTTCACACACATTACACTTGCATTAGCCATTAAACCCCTTGCTTGCCCCTTAGTGGAAAGAGTGTGTCCCCACATCCTACACCCCAATGTGGGCACACTTCATGTAAGGCCCTAGGTAGCAAGCTGACATGATCCTTGTTATCTTATGGGAATTACACCAGCAAAAGCTGCTTCCCATTCACCTGTCTCCACCTTCTCCCTCTCCTTGAGATCTGAACTTTGAATGAAACCAGGACCCTGAGAACTTTGTAAGGGAGGAATTTACACTTTTATTTTGCTGATAAGTAGTTAGCCCTGAACTTTCAAAGCACCATGGCAATAGAAAGTGTTCTATAAACAGCTTTATACCAGACATAACTGGCTTAATCTGTATAATATGTTGTTTTTACTGGCTTATAAAAAGAACCTAAAATAAGCTAAGGGGCTTCTCAGGACAGCAGCTTGGGGAAAGCCCTCATGATTTCATAAGTGTGTCAGTTCCCTACCATCTCCCCTCGGGTACCAGTCCTCTACAACTGCACCATAGCTTCAGCACTCCAGGGTGGGCTTATCTCTCCACCCTACACATGAATGCCCTTTCCATACTGTGTGGGTTCCAACACCTAGTACAACACCCTAGCTTTCTCCTTCACCACGTTGCACCTTCACCATGTATTTTCTCTGGGTCCTGCTTGGGTCAAATGCCCTCAATTCAGCAAGTAAGAACTGCTTTCTTTTAGAAACTAGAAGAAATTGGTGATGTAGGAATATGGAAGTTTATGGAGTGACTCAACAACTCAGAAAACATCTGTCATGGAAATGTGTAATGGCACAAGGAACTAGAGCAGTAGCTGAGGTTTTTCAGATTTGGAGGGAGATGTTGGATGGCCTAGATGGAAGTGGTATAAAAAGACAATCAGAACTGGAGAACAAGAATCACTTATCTGGAGATGACAGCTTAGCAATGGCATATACCCTCCTTAAAATCATGACGCTATATTTCAGATGTATTTTTAATATTTTTTGTTTTTCTATCTTCCTTTCTTTAAATCAAAAGAAAAATAAATCTATCACCTACCGATTTATTATTCTTATACTTTATTGCATCTCTAGTTTGTAGTGCTGATGATTTACCACATCAAGGACTTTAGAGAATTAGCTCAAAAGAACATCTCTCTGGCTTCCATAAGTGTCCACATGTAGCAAATGAGAGTTTTTCAAATTTCTTGTAGTTTCTAGGGATGTGTTTCTCTGAAAAGCCCTTCCTCTGAGGAAAAGTAAAGGAGAAAAATAGGTCATGAACCATAAAGACAGCAGAATAACACTCTACCCACAGGACAGCAGAATAATTCTGCACCATGGCCCCCAGGGAGAAACACATTCTCTGTAGGCAAATTTGTGCTGCTGTAGTCAGTCCTGGGACACCTGGCCCTGTGCTGAGTTCTTGAGATCAGTCATGTTTGCAGCTGTGCAGATTTGCATATGCCTACGCCACAGCACAGTGTCGTGAAGATTTATTCACATGCTAGTCATAGCATGTGAGAGCTAGTCCAAGTGAACACACACCGTAGATATGGGGGCCTCTGCTCAGATCCTCGGGGTCCTGCTGCTCTGGTTCCCAGGTAAGTAGGGAGAATGATAGGAATTTACTCATTCTGTGAGGTCAGTACCAGCTAGCTCTTCAGGGAGGTCCCCTTGTAACATGATTAATTGTGTGGATGTTTGTCTTTATGTTTCCAATATCAGGTGCCAGATGTGACATCCAGATGACACAGTCTCCATCCTCCCTGTCTGCATCTCTAGGAGACACAGTCACCATTACTTGCCAGGCCAGTCAGGACATTAGCAATTACTTAGCCTGGTATCAGCAGAAACCAGGGAAAGCTCCTAAGCTCCTGATCTATTATGCATCTAGTTTGCAAATTGGGATCCCCTCAAGGTTCAGTGGCAGTGGATCTGGGACAGATTTCACTCTCACCATCAGCAGCCTGGAGGCTGATGATGTTGGAACTTATTACTGTCAACAGCATGATAGTAAACCTCTCACAGTGTTACAAGCCATAACATAAACCCCCAGAGAAGCAGAAGTGTGAGGCTGGGCTGCCCCAGCTGCTACTCCTGGTGCCTTCAACTGCTGAGAGCATTTCTAACATGCAGCCAGTCTCTGAGGGTCATGAGAAGGTTTGGTAGAAGTGGCAGGGAGGCTTCTCTACAAATTTTCTTTCCCGCTTCTCAGCCCTAGCAGCACAGACTTGAGAATACATCTCCTGACTTAAAGAAGGGCAGAGATCATTACCTCTGAAGTCTATAACCTCTGAAGTCTATGGAACAAAGAAGAAGCTAGTTTTGGTATTTCAAACAGAATTTTTTTTAATACTAGGAATTGTGGGCCAAACCCCAACTTTTCAAATTTAAGGTGGTATGATAGTTAGAGAAGCAGATGCTGGAAATGGGGGGATTCTCTGGTGTTTCCTTAGAATGTCAAGTGCATCTGTCAGTAAGGATACAGGCTGCCTAACCATGTGGTGCTCAGACCTGACTGTGAAGCCCAGAGGTGGGGATGCTGATGCTCTCAGCTGCCTGCAGCACCTCACCAGGTGACTCTCCAGTCCTCACCCCCCACCACATATCTGCCTGCATGTCCAGTGGTTAGTGATGAATCCTCCTCTTCTGATTTCCAGATGTCAGGGAGGGCCCCTTGTTGAGCAAGTCCAGGAAATAAGAAAGAGAATAAGAGTTTGAGAAATGTGCTTTCAGAAGTGATGATGATGATGATAGGGAGTTAAGGCCACGCTGCTGAATATAGTAACTATACTCTTAACTTTCAGAATTTTGTCATTTAGGACATGGCCCCAAAATACTTGTGGAGGTGCTTCTAAGTATTTTCAGCAAGGTAGGATCACAGCAAGAAAACTTCATTATATCATAGGGGCAATAGAAAAAGAGGAAATTGCAACAAATACACAACTATTATTTGACAAACAAATGAAAATCTTTCTCAACAAAAATAAAAACAAATACAACTAAGCATTGATGTAACATTATTTCCTTCCTATTAGGAATTCATCTGGATTTCAACAGCATCATCAGCATCACAGAGAGCACATTACAGATGCAAAGCAGCAGAATCACCTAAGACACACTGAATGAAAATGTACTTTTTGGTGAGCTTTGTGTTAAAAAAAAGAACACCCATATTTACTTCCTAATTAGTGAAAAACTATGTTTCAAAATGTTTTTAAGATTGTGAAGGATAAAATACATAACATTCGTCAACAGTATGATCAAATATTTGCCTTATTGTGCAGCTTGCTTTGAGGATTCTGTTCACTCCTGTTACTTCTTGTGAGAATGTCGTGCCCTGAGTAGTGACTGTCCTTCAGCCTTGGCCTCAGATCAAATGCAATCCACAGGCTGGAGATAAACTCAGTGCCTGCTGCAGAGGCCCCCAGCTGAGCCATGCCTGCATCAGCCAGTCACTGTTAACATGAACGTCCATGAACATGAAAATAATTGCTCAGTGTTATAAAGCAGTGAGTTTTAAGTGGTTTGTTACCAATCATTATTGTGCATATTCTGGTCAATACAATATATCCATATCTACATATATAGATAAATATATTTTATGAAACTGTATGAACTCAATGTGAATGCTTAGTAAACCATTCATGAAGATATTAAGAGATTAAAACTAAATGATGTTTGAGTTAAAGAGTAAATTTACATAATTTGTGGGAAATTCACATAAGCATTTACACATATAGCTTCATATACATTCATTTGATACATATATCTACATATATTTATGTCTAAAGAAGGCTTCACGTGCAGGCTAATCTAGATGTTTCCTACTGTTTCTGGATTCGGAGACAATTTTTTGCCTTGACATTTGTCAGCTGATTTATGCTGGACTGATGTTGTCACACCACTGTCATAGTCAAAGATGCCCTGGAAGAATGTAAGTCACAAGAGTGGGGAATCTCCAAGGGTTACATCTGATGGTCACTGCTCTAGATTGGATGTCCCTCCAAACTCACTGAGATTTGGTCCCCACCGTGTCAGTGTTAAGAGGATGGGAAATCCTATTATGGTAATTGAAAGGTGGGGCCTTGAAGAGGTGATTAGATTGTGAGGATCATGCCCTAGTAAACGGTTTAATAAGTTAATGGTCTAAAGGTGTTGATGGGTGTGGTTCTGAGGACTTTAAAAGGACAGCACATAAGGATCTCTCTCTCTCTCTCTCTCTGGGCTTCTGCCATCTTCCATGTGACACCCTACTTTGCTGTGAAAAATCACTATCCACCAACATGGCTCTCACCAGCCGTGTTCCCTGGATCTTGTGCTTCTCAGCCCCTAAATTGTAAGCAATACATAATGTTCCTTTACAAATTACACAGTTTCAGGTATTTTGTCATAAGCAATAAAGACAGACTGATACAGTGACTTTTCAAGGAGAGATTGGCAATTCAATGACATTGACTGCTGGTTTTGACAGAGTAGCAGGACTTTGAAGGAACACAGCTGAAGGATTGGAGGCAAAGTTGTTTTGGAAAATCTATGACTGGACATTTCAAAATGTGCCATGGTTGAAAATAATGGCTTTCCAAGCTGATACACATCAAAAGGCCATTATATAGCAGGGCTATATATGTAATTGATATGATCCAACACATAAACTTCACTCAGTCACTTTATCAATATGGTCCATGCTTATGCTCAATAATATGCTTTTCAGCTGCCATATGACCACTGGCACTTCTGGGCATCCAGCTTGACAAAAGAATAACCAAACCAGAACCCTTGATACAGTACCACACATCAGGGATCAGACTAATAACTAGTGTCCATAGGATTACAGTGAACATGCAGTTCTGTACATTTCCTCCCCCAGTGTTATATTCCTAAGCATAAAACTTCCTCCAAAGATGGTTGTGTAGAGAGATTCTTTGGTTCCAACAGCTGCACTCTCCCCTATGGTCTGTTCAGAGGTATGGGGTGTACTTCTAGGAAAATTCTCCAGGGCTCAAACATCCTGCCAGGGACTTCATTCACCCTCCAATGCTTGCATTCTTGAAAACACAAAATCCTCAAACCTTGATTAATTCTAATGTCGCCTCGCTCAGCCAGTGAGCGGGAGCCGGTCTGTATGTGGGATCCGAACCCTCAGGCGGGAGTGCCACCGCGCTTCCCAAGCGGCGCACTATCCAGTGCGCCACCGGGCCGGCCCAAATATTGTATCTTCATCTATGGATGAAGAGCTGTGAGCGCACTGGTCATCCCTATATAGGATCTGAACTCGCGTTGGGAGCGCTGCTGCACTTCCCAGCGCTGCACTCTCCCGAGTGCGCCACAGGCTCGGCCCAATGCTTGCGTTCTTGAAAACACAAAATCCTCAAACATTGATTAATTCTAATGTGACATTTCTAAATCAGGCCTGTCAAATAATTCATCCACAACATGGTCTTTGAATCTCTTCTCTAGAGGAGGTGTTATTAAAGGCAGAGAACTACAAAACAAAAACCTACATCCACGTAGATAATAGCAATAATAATAACAATGACAGCAACAACAGAAACATCATCAACAGCCATTTACCATTTACTGAAGTCTTGAAGACCTATGTGTGTTGATTACTGCACTAATGGTTTAATGATCTAGTGCAATTAATCCCATATTAATCCTCTAAGGGTAAGAAATTAGAGGTTCTCAATGCTTAGCTTGCTTAAGGTTCCAGTGCTTATTGGGGGGAATATGGAAACAGACTCTGATACTCTGACTCCATAATTCCTACTCAGATGTAACTGAAGTATATTCTACATATAAAGTGAATGTGAAGTGTGCAGGTGGATGAATACAATCATATATATTTCCCCCTTTGACCTCTATGCGGATAAAGATATACACTCTCCCCAACTTCCCGTATCCTCCCAAAGCTCCTTTCTTTTCAATTCCATGTTCTGTCCACTACGTCATGAGTCCTCAATTGTTCTATTTTTTTTTTTTATCAAAATTCATCAATTTTCTCACTCATTCAGCTTTATATAAATGGAATCATTTAGTATCTACTCTTTGGTGTCTCACTTCTATTGATTAACTTTTTAATGGAATCATTTAGTATCTACTCTTTGGTGTCTCACTTCTATTGATTAACTTTTTAAAAGTTTTATCTATGTTGTTTTGCAGATGTAATTTATTCCCTTTTTATTTAGAATAATTCTTGAATATTTGAATTCTTGAATATTCTTTACTTAGAATATTCTATGAATATACTATGATTTATAAATTTTCACTAGTTGCTACCAAGACGGTAGAGGAACTGGGGAGATAACTCTGAGAAATAATTTGATGAGATGGTAAATAGGACTGAGGTCTGCACAACAGATGACTGTTGATTTTTTAAAATAACCTACACATGCAGATATTTTCCCTTTATCATTTCAACACTTTGTTCCATGTATAGAAAAGCACATTTCAACCTACTTATCGAAGATATTCAAGTTTTAATACCTACATATGCATCTAAAACTCATGTTTTGTGTGAAATATCTGGTTATTTAAATATTTTATTGATAGGTTTTGAACATAACCAGTGCCGTTTTAGGCAGGGCCAAGCAAAAAATGAGAACCAGCCCTCACCCCCTTTTCCTTACAACAAGCCTCATGACTTCTGCAAAATAGAAAAAAATTTGGTTTTCGCATAGGTGCAATTTTCCACCCTGATTGCATCAGCCAGGTGGAGCTTCCGCACTAGCCTAATGTTCCTCCTTGATCCCATCAGTCAGTCCTGGCACCCTATAACCTATATAAGCTCTCCCACCCCAATGCCTCGTGCTTCTTTCCACTTTGAGGGCAGCCCCGGCTGCTGCTTTCCATTTTGAGTGCAGCTCAGCAGATTCTTTTCCTTTAATAAAGCTTGACCAGTACCTGGCGTTTTGGCTAACTTTCTTTCATTTCGATGCTGAAACCCAGAAAGGGTCCTGGCCGGGACATTTGGATGATCCCCTTTCTTGGGTTGATTGGCTCCCAGCCACCCTTCCCAGACTTGCTGGACCGGGTACCTCCAGGACTC